CTGAGCTCTGAGTGATGTTTCTCTCTCTCTCTCTCCCCCTTCCTCTCTCTGAAATTAATAAAACTATATTAAAAAAATAAAAGAATGATGCTTTTTGCTGACCCATTCATACTTATTTTAAAAGGGGGGAGGGGCAAAGAAAAAATTTATCCTAAGAAACTGATAGGTAGAATCTGGGTGGGCGATATTTTAGATTTTGTGAGGATGTGCTTTAAAAACATGTCCAAGTAAGTCAAATGGGTTACTTAACCCCTTCCCCAACAATTTTTTTGTAAAAAACGTTTCTTTTTCAGACTAATTTTTTTATTTTGGTTCTATATAGTATTTTTGATGCTGGTTATGAAAACAGTTTGTAACTCATCTTCCTATAAACCATATTTTTTTACCATATTTTCTTAGTATACTTGTCGACGACTGAAAAAGAACATTTTGTGAAAATGAGTATACACGTTTCTGCCGGGGAAGGGGTTAAAACCAGCACTCACAATTTGGGGATCAACTTTGTCTACCATAATGTACAAAACTGTACATTTAAAAAATATCAGTGATCATACATAAGAACGCTGATGTCTGGTTTCATTGATTCTTGTGACTTCCAAGGTGATTCTGCATTTTAGCAAGTAGGAGCTTGGGACTGACCACTACTGAGAATCCAGTGACACTAAGAATGTTTACCTGTTACTTTTGCCAATTTCACATTCGTCTACATTACATATACATCTTGTCATTTTTTCCCTTCTAACCCATAAAACCCAGAATTCTCTTTAAAATATGTTAACTATGCCTTTCTTCTTTTATTGCTCCTAATTACTTTTCACATTTTCTTTTTTTCTGAGTAAGTAATGAATGTAATGCCCTGGACTGTCTTTGAAAAGTATGACATACAGAGTGGCTACCATCAACAAATTAACACATGACAAGTGCTGGCGAGAATGTGGAGAAAGGGTACATTTACACCATGGAATGCTATGCAGCTGTAAAAAAGAAGAATCTCTTACCCTTTCAGACAGCATGGAGGGACCTGGAGAATATTATGCTAAGTGAAATGAGCCAGACAGAGAAAGGTAAGTATCACATAATCTCACTCATATGTGGAATCTAAAGAACAAAATAAACTGATGAACAAAATACCAGAGACATGGAAGCATGGAACAGACTATGGAATCTCAGAGGTAAGGTGGGTGGTGTGTGGGAAGAGATTAACCAAAAAACTTAAATGCATATATGCATGGCCCATGGACACAGACAATAGTGTGGTGAGGGCCTGGGATGGGGGACGGGGGCAAGCTAGAGTCAATGGGGAAAAAGAGGGGACATCTGTAGTACTTTCAGCAATAAACATGCACTTTTTAAAAAAATATATATTTTATTGATTTTTTACAGAGAGGAAGGGAGAAGGATAGAGAGTTAGAAAAATCGATGAGAGAGAAACATCGACCAGCCGCCTCCTGCACATCTCCCACTGGGGATGTGCCTGCAACCCGGGTACATGCCCCTGACCGGAATCAAACCCGGGACCCTTCAGTCCACAGGCCGACGCTCTGTCCACTGAGCCAAACCGGTTTTGGCAACATGCACTTTTAAAAAAGTGCGACAAAAATATGTCTTCAAATTTTGGCTTTTAAGAAAAAGATCATACAATTTAAAAGAGAATGTAATTCTTATTTTTCTCCCCAAAATAGTTTTACTAGAACCAGTCTTATGCCTAATTATCAACATGGGAAATAAAAATGTTTGCACACCTTTGATCTGGCCCCATGATTACTATTTGTCATGGATGTGTGGCTTTCTGTTCGAGAGATTTGATATTATATGCTCCAATTAAATGTCCCTGTATCAAGTGCTCGTCACTGCTTGGGCTAGAATTCTGGAACATTTAAGGCATTCTTCATGACAACTTATGTCTATTCTCTCTGTGATCTAAATAGCCACTATTGGTCCTAACCAGTTTGGCTCAGTAGATAGTCAGTCTGTGGACTGAAGGGTCTTGGGTTCGATTCCGGTCAAGGGCATGTACCTTGGTTGCAGGCATATCCCAAGTGGGGGGTGTGCAGGAGGCAGCTGATTGATGTTTCTCCCTCATCGATGTTTCTAACTCTCTATCCTTCTCCCTTCCTCTCTGTAAAAATACCAATAAAATATATATATTTTAAAATAGCCCCTATTGGTTACCTTAATGGATCAATTAAATATCCATGAAGATGAGTACAAAGAAGTTACCACCCTTTTATTATTGACCTGGCCCATTTCTAAATAAGCAGAATAACATTCAAAGTTCATTTTGATTAAAAACTGGGAAAACACAGTAGCCATATTTTCTCAGTGTCACTATCACTGTCAAGAAGAAAACCAAGGTCCTAACAGGTTATTCCTAGATTGCATTAAGTCTTAAGAGACTAATGTAGCTTAACCACACCCAATTTACTTTCTAAGTTAACTAATAAAAGGTGATAATTTTTCTTGAAAATTTTAAGTAAATCTGCACATAAACGATTTTGAGAATAATTTAATGTTAACTTGAACATACAACTACATTCTAATGTGATTATATTAAATGCAAAGAAACGGATCCTTACAAAACCAAAATAACCCACAGGCCATGAGGTCAGTTTCACTTTTTCCTTTGTTTAAACAAACGTGCACCACGATGGTTCAACAAGTAAGGCAAATGATATGAATATGAAAGCTGCGGTTTGTAATATACCACATCTAGAACCCAGAGAAGGTGAATTAGACTAAAGTGGCAGTCATTCTAATTAAACAATCAGGATGACTTGGTTTGCAGCATGGAAACTGTCGATCTAGGTTTCTTTTCTCTTAATGATCAGAGGTCCCACGTTATCTCCAGTCTCTTCGTTGTGTTTTGTGTGAGCTCCATCGCAGAACGGGAACTGGGAAGAGAAAAAGAGAATGTAAAATGTCTAATCACAAAGTCAATATTATGTTTGGCAGAGTGGGGGTGACGTTCAAGTCACATATATATCATGATAACTGAATATAAAGTAGCATTCCTATTTGTGATATTTGAGTATGGATTTTGAAAACCCTTCCATGTTTATATGCTAGTTATAATTCCTTTTTAGTGAACTGGCTATATCCATTGCTTATTTATTTAAGAGCCTAAGTTCACTTATTTAAGATCAATTTGTATATGATCCCTCTGTTGATCAACTTAATACAATTTTTCCCCCTAAACCATTTTATTTTGCTTAGTTTTTCATGCCCTTAATTTTCCCATTTTCATACAAATAGGCCTATTTAACATCATACATTTCCTTTCATACATTTCTCTCTTTTGAACATCTTTCATGGAGACTTTTTTCTAGAAACATGGTAGATTCACATTCCGTTTCATGATTTCACATTTTTCATTTTTAAGTAGATTTTTACTGATTTCACAAAGGAAGGAAGAGGGAGAGAGCGATAGAAACATCAATGATGAGACAGAATCATCAATTGGCTGCCTCCTTCATGCTCTACTGGGGATTGAGCTTTCAACCTGGGCATATGCCTTGGTCAGGAATTGAACCATGACCTCCTGGTTCATTGGTCAATGCTCAACCACTGAGCCAAGCTGGCCGGGCTCATGATTTCACATTTTAGATATAGCTGATCTTTTGGTGTCTAGTGGGAGGGAAAGGACAAATAATTGTTTAAGTGTTTCCCAGAGTATGCTCCAAATAAGTTAGTGTGCAATACATTCTAATATGGTTTTATTCTGTGTTTAAAAAACATACAAACGACCCACATACAAAGCTATTTTGATTCACAATATACACTATTATTTTACAAAGGTCCTGCTATAAAAAAAGCTCTATTTTACCCCAAACTCTTCCAAAATGACTAGATTATGGACATTTTTAACTTATCCACGATCACAACGTTCTATAGAGTACAGTACACTTTGCAAAATGCTGTTCTAGATCTTGTTGCTTCAATATTTTTAGAGGTTGCATCCTAAAATGTTATACCTTTCTTCATAATTTTATCAAAATAAAATATACAGTGCCTAGATATAGGTTTGACATTATTATAGTCATCAACCTATTTCACTAGGAAAATAACTGATTAAAATAAGCTTAAAATTGGGCTAGTTTTCCTCTATATTATTACTTTAAAAAAAATACCATGCTGATTTCAGAGAGGAAAGGGGAGCTAGAAACATGTATGATGAGAAAGAATCATTGATTGGCTGCCTCCTGCATGCCCCCTGACCAGGAATTGAACCATGACCTTCTGGTTCATAGGTCAATACTCAAACACTGAGCCATGCTGATCGAGCCATATTATTATTCTTTATTAAACCTTTCCTATTTATCCTTTACCTAATTTTATTTAAATTCTACCCATTTATTCTTCCTCATAACCATGAGAATTTTGTTTTTGCCAAATCCTATTTTATTTCTCTTGCAGTTTTCATTCTCAAGTCTCATGTATTTCTGACAAGATTATTTATCTTATATGGTCATTGGTTATTATAATTAGGTATATTTTTATACATGACCTCTCTCTCTGTGTGTATGTGTATCATTGGTTTTTGCAAATATATCCGTCCTACTGTTAAATAATAAACATAAGGATTCAACAGTGTTTTAGCTGTCTCCTCAGGATTTTACACTCAGAAGGCTCAATTATCACTAGATTATTCTGTTTCTCTCTTTCTATATTTATAGCTTCACTTCTACTTCATGTCACACAATGATAGCTAGCACCTGTTCCATTTAATCTAGAGTTTCATGTTTAGTATAAGGTACACTATTGCATGGAAGGAGCCTGTTTAGAAGAGTATAGTAACAAGAGTGAGTCTGGCCTTACGAGTAAAATCGCCTGATTACTCACTGGGATGGGGAACATAATTTCAGATACCTGCAACTAGACAATGATGATATACAATCTTAAACTCTGATGTTAGCAGTGTCTACTCAAAAAATTAAAATATTTGATGTTAATGAAATTCAATTTTAATTTTACTATCTGTATATAATTCTGAGAGGCAGTAAATTAGTTAAAAATTACAGAAAAACTCAAGGTTTTCAGAATACCTTCTATATCCAGGTATAAGTTCCATCTTGGGGCAATATAAATGTAATGCATATGAAGCTTGCATTATTTCTCTTTTTAGGTCAATAAGATATGGTACACAGCTTATTCATATTAAAAACAAGTCCTTGCAGCAAAAACATGAACCCGAGCTTTCAGGTTTTTGGCACAGATGAGGAAAGAGGCCATAAAAAAAATCAAACTGAAATGTATTCTACAGCGAAGAACAGCATTTCAAAGTGGCATATGTTTGACAAACACATGACTTTACAGTGAGAATGGAAGTTTACATTGTAAAAGACTCCATTTTTATAAATAGCTCACATAAAACATGTCACTGTAAAGTTTCATGCACACAGATTATAAAACACTACTGACCCGGTCCACAGATTCAGATTTGTGCACATTGAAAGGAAATTAATTAGAAGGTGGCCAGCAGGGCAGGACTGGGCCAGATGGGCTGGACACGCCCTGGAGCCAACCTGCCACAGTTCCTCCCCAGCCAGCTGCACATGGGGTGGCCCCACGGCTCGAAAGCCATCTGCGGAGTGAGCGGGGTCCCTTCGGCAGGTGGGGTCCCTCGGCCTGGCCTGCGGGGATCAGGCCGAAACTGTCTCTCCACATCCCCCGAGGGGCCCCAGAGTACAAGAGGGCACTCTGCAAAGTTGCTGTCATACAGGGTGTGGAATGCAAATGCAGGTGTGCAGTAAACCAGATTCGGGGCCAACAGTGCCCCAGCAACAACATAACCCACAGCCAAAGGTGGAATTGCGCGGTCCCACAGGGACCCCTCCTCTGGTTTTGGAGTGCATCACCCAAGAACTGCTGCTGTCAAGTCACTGCAGCTCAGCAGCTCCTGCATTGAGTGTCTGCCCCCTGGTGGTCAGTGCATGTAATAGGGACCAGTAGGATGGAGGGAGGGACACTTAGCATATTAGCCTTTTATAAATATAGATATTTCTGGAAACAAATATCATTAAGTAAAAAAGCCTCAAATAACTTACTGATGTAGCATGCTTCACTTTTATTTCTTTTTTAATGTCACTGTTAAGAATACTAGAAACTTAATTCATTTTCTCAAATTATTTTTCTCCATATATAGAATCAAGAACAGGAGAGAAATCTATAGAGAATAAAGAAAATCTTATAAAGGTTAAGAAAGCCATACATCAGGATGAGACTATAGTCTGGCTGGAATGGTTCAGTTGGTTGAGTGTTGGTCTGTGCACTGAAAGGCTGTCGGTTTGATTTTGGTCAGGGCATGTATGTGCCTGGGTTGCGGTTTGATCCCTGGTTGGGGTTCCTATGGAAGGCAACTAACCCATGTTTTTCTCTCTCCGTTTCTCACTCTAAGCATGTTCTCAGGTAAGGATTTTAAAAAAAGAGAGAGAATATATTTTTTACAATAATCTGTTTCTGCCTAAAAACTGAAATTTACATGTTTCACATGTTCTTAAAAGTAAACAACTAAAAAATAAATATTTGTTTAAAAATTAGTGAGTAGTAGGACCTGTCTATTTGTTAATAAACTTTCATGCTTTTAAAGTGTATAAAAAATGCTTTTATGACTTTAAAATGTAAACTAGGTATTAAAAACCATTTTGTTCACAGGCACTGATATATTTTAATACTACTTTCTATTAACACTTAATCCCAGGAATTATTGATTTAGGTCAGAATCATCTCCCAAACTTTATGTGCAGTTTAAGTATTCCCATCATATTTATGCATTAGGGATTTCTTATTTTAAGTTATGAACAACTAAACATTTTCTTTTCAACCAAAGTCAAAATGAGCTATTTCAAAATAAGATTAGCAATTTCTTAGGGCTGCTCTGTACATTTCAATAGAATATATTTATTGAAATTACTTCATGATCCTTATTATAGTATAAATGAATGAATGGTAATTACTAGGCATTAAAATTCAAAAAGTAAATTACATAACAATGTTTTTCATAAAGTGTCTTATTTTATTTTTAACTTTTTTATCCAAGAGAAAGAAAATAAATGATAGGTAAGTGCTTTCAAACATAATCTAGGAATAGTTTTAAAAAAATATATGTTTTTATTGGTTTCAGAGAGGAAAGGAGAGGGAGAGAAAGGTAGAAACATCAATGATAAAAATCATTGAACCTCTGCCTCCTGCATGCCCCCTACTGGGGATCAAGCCCACAACCTGGGCATGTGCCCTTGACTGGAATTGAACCCGGGACCCTTCAGTCTGCAGGCTCTCTATCCACTGAGCCAACCAGTCAGAGCAGGTATAGTTTTTGCATTAAATATTAATGTAATGAAAACATGAAAATTGTATTAAGCCTCTTTCATTTAAAATGTTGAAATTTGTTAAACTTGTCAAGCAAAGAGCTGAAGTTATAAAAACACAAATGGTATATTTAATTCAGTTCATATAGTATCAATACTTAAAACTAAAAAAGATACAATATTTGATGAAAAAAAGGTTAGGTCATAGTTGATTCTAAAGTTTGTTCTAAGATACTAGTCTTTGTTCATTAATATATCCTGGAGAAAAGCTTGTGAATTAAATTGGATGATTTTCCTGTATGTCCAGAAAATATCCTAGTATGCTTGTTAAACCAATTAAAAATCCATTCATCTCAGATATCTTTAAAACAGGGTTGGAGAAAGTATGGAGAAGAGATTGAAAGAAATATCTATAAGAAAAAGAAAAAACACTTGGAAAGCTAACATTACCACGGTCTTCATAAAAAACCTAAAATATGTTTATTTTTAAGGGCCTCATATCTCAAGTTATGATGTTTCTGTTTTTAGGGTGATTCAAAATGGAAATAAATACATCTCCTCTTTGAATTATCTCTTCTATCTGCAAC